TCTTCTTCTGCTGCATTTCTGGGACTACAGCCCCCAAATCTCGAGTCTCTGCATCTGAAGAGACTGACCCAGGAGATTTATTTTAAAGAGCTGCTGCTTTCCCACTGAGCCTCTCTGAAGCCCCTCACATGGGGGGTTCCTCCAAAGCTGGCTCTGTGGTGAGGTTCTTAAATCAGACCCCTGGGATCCCCAGCCTCTCCTCACTAAGTCAGCGGGTCCAGTTCAAAGGACCTGGTTTTTTCTTACAAGAAGAGAGAAAGCAGCAAAGAACAAAGCAGGACATTAAGGGAAGGTAGACAGGAGAAGGGGCTGCCAGGGCCCCTTCCTGAGTGGCTAGAGAGTGAGCCCCGGTGAGGAAGCAAGGACAGGAAGGGAGAACAGCCCTCTACCAGACCGAATGCTGATGTCCTTCCGAAATTCATATATGTTGATGAAATTCGTATATGTTGACGCTCTCACCCCCAGGGGTACTTGGCAGTGGGGCTCTGGAGGTGGTGACTGGGTTTAGATGAGGTCTGAGGTGGTGGTCGGGGTGGGGGTTCCTCATGATGGGATTAATGCCCTTATAAGGAGAGACCAGAGAGCTCGCACTCCGCCCTGTGAGGACACAGTGAGAAGGGGGCCACCTACAAGCCAAGAGCCAAATCGGCTGGCACTTGATCTTGGCTTTCCAGCCTCCAGAACTCTAAGAAATAAACGTTGCTTAAGCCAATGGGATAAGACAACACCCTCACTTGCCCCTTCCCAAATCTGTGTGGCTCAAATAAAGGACATCCTCTGGCTGGTGGAAAGCGGGCTCATCTATTCAGAGAGAAGACATTCTACAGCACTCAAGAGCTCTGACCGTCGGAAGCCTCATCTTCCACATCTACGAAAGGCAGGTAATTAATATTTGCCTTGAACTATGGTTGACAATTACACGAACTTACGGAGTCCTGCACGGAGGTCTGCACCAAGTGATGGCCATCTCTATCAACACCAGAGGGCAAAGGAGAGCCGGTGGGTGAGGTGACTAGCTGAGCGAGCCCTGCTCTGGCTCCTGTCCCCCACCAGGGCTTGACTGGATAGGCGGCCTGTGAGTTTTCGCAAGAGAAAATGAAAGCAAACACAGACAGGAAAAGTTCCCAGCGCAGTGCCTGGGAGTGCAGTGGGTGTGGAACGGACGTTATTTGAATCAAAACGTCCCTGAAGGGTCCTATGTTGGGAGCGTGGTGAGGCAGAGCTTCCCAGCGCCTGCCTGGAAAGGGTTCCTAGTGTCCGGGAGGTGTAAGCCCCGCCCCCAGGCAACTGGGCGGGGCCTGGGCGGGCTGAAGCCCCTCACTAGTCTCTGAGGGTTGTCTTCTCTCTCCCCTGGCCCCGGGGTGCAGTACCAACAGTTTCTTTTTCTCTGTGTCCCATAAGGTGAATGAAGTCTGGGTTTACTGGGTGAGAGGCGTTGTTCAGGTGAGGGAGGTGGGTCCCTCACGGACCCTGACCTCCAGCGGCCCCTGCGGACACAACGAAACTAACAGCCGGCGTGGGGACTTGCCCAGGACACAGTGCACGCTCCATAATGCTTGCTTACATTCCATACCTTGCCTAATTGCAAAACGCATTAGAGACTGAGCAAATGCTGGTTGGTGATACCTAAGAGGGAAAAGTCCACAAAGATTTAGGACTTCTTTCCCGTGTCCCCAGCTTTGGGCTGAGTGTCACCAAAGACACAAAGAAAGAATGAGGTGGGCTTGGGAAGGAAGGGAGCAGGAGGCCGATAGTGATGGGGATGGGCTAGTGCAGAACGTGGTAGAAGAAGAGAGAGACAGAAACAGAGACAGAGGCAGAAATAGACAAAGAGAGAAGAGAAGGGGAGGGGAGGAGGGAGGGGAGAGGGAAGGAAAGGGGAGGGGAGGGGAGGGGAGAAAGAGTATGTTATGCAATTTGGGCATCACTTGTACATTCTCACTTCTAAATGCCTTCATGCTGCTGTCAGCCCAACCTCAGAGCTAGGCTCCACTGGGTAGTCAAGTACTTGGTTCTATTTTTAATGGCAACCCAGAAGCTGTTTGGGAAAGGGCAGGATGACATGGTGGGAAGAGCTTTGTAGTGAGACAAAGGCTCAAACCTGGCCCAGCAGCCTCCTACCTGGGTGCCTCCGGGCAAGTGCCTCACCCTCTCTGAGCCTCTGTACCTTCGGCTGCCTACGGGGGTGCAGACAGCATCCTCTTGGGGCTGTTGTGAACGTGCTGTGGGCTAACATGCACAGGCTCTGAGCGCTTGTCCGATAGAGAGGATCTGGGGGGTGCAAAAGAAGCTGGGGTGACGACAGCACTGCCTGGCTGGGGGCGGGCCTGTCCAACTGCTGGGATGCCTTCAGCACGCAGAGGGCTCGGCTCTCCGGTCCCGGCAGCATCATTGACGGGAGACAACCAGGAAATGGAATCACTGTGGCCAGCAAACCCTCAGTCACAACCAGTGTTTTGTTAGTGGCCCCGCTCCAATATTTCTCTAGGTTCAGCCCAGAGGCTTGATCTTTTCTTTTCTCCCCCCCACCCCCATGTAAAGCTTTGGGAGCTCTTTGCTAGAGAACAGGTGGAAATCATGCCTTTTACACACAAAGCCAACACTGGGGGTGCCCAGGCCCCCAGGGAGGGGCATGGGATGGCTGTGCTGCTTGGGTCCCCGTCTGGACCCTCTCTGGCAGGTGGAGGCATCACAGATGTCAGGCGATTGTGCTTCCCCGAGGTGAGCCGGCAGTTTCCACCCAGGTCCAGGGAAGGATGATACTAGCCACAACGAGGAATCCTGAACCAGCTCTCCTGGTCCTGGGTTGGTCCGAGGGTGGTCCAGCCCTTGGATGTGGCCTGGTTTGGCCCTCAGAACCCCTGAGCTCATGGGTGGGTGGGTGGGTGGGGAATGACAGAGGCAGCTCAGTTCTTATGGTGAAGTCCCCCAGATGGCAATTCCCCACCCTCCCTCCGCCAGCGGAGCCAGCTGCCCAGATGGGCTTGGGGCTCTCTTGATGAACACCGAGTGCAAACAGCTCGAGGTAGCTGGCAAGAGGCTAAGTGCAGCATCAATCCTAATTAGGATGAGGAATTAATAAAGGAGGCATTCGAGCCGCTCTGCAGAGGCCAGGCTCGCCGCTGTGGAGGAGTTAGTTCCGATTCCCACTGGGAAACTGGGAGGCTTGGTTGGGGTCCACGGGTGCCTTCGGGTGATGACAGTGGCATGACTTACTGTGCCCCCCAGAGCCTGTGAGGGAGAACATGGGGGCTCTGCAGCCCCTGTTCTGTGTCTAATTCAGGTGCTGTGTGACGTGGGTACATTCTCCAGATGAGAAGAGTAGGTGTTTGTGATCTGAGCAATTGCACACCAGAAATGATGTTTTTCAAAAGAAAAGAGGAGGGTGTGATCGTGGGCCCACCGATCCTTTGTGTGGCTTGCTTCCCAAACGATTGATCGCACCTATGCCTGCTCCTCCAAGACTCCACTTAGCCCTGGCACTAAACTCCAAATTGCAAAGGGCAAGGCAGCCGCGTCTGGGAGAGGGTGTGGGGGGCAGAGGTGGGCAGGATTCCCGCCAGGGCAGGTCTAGGAGGAGGGGAAAGGGAGCAAGTTCAGCCTCCCCGAGCGACCCAGCTTTACAAAGCCTCTTTTTATATGACTCCAAATGCGGCCAGAAAAAGGGCCATCTCTTTAAGAGCTTCCTACCAACCTCCACGAAGCTCCAAACCCGCTAAACTATTTGCAGGGGCTCTAACTGCAGTAAGGAAGGCTGGGTGTGTGGGAGAACTCCCCGAATAACGGAGGGGCGGAGTTAACACACGGGAAAAGGTTACAGAAAAAGAAAGAGGAAACTCTGTCCAAGGATATCGGAAAGGAACGCTCCGCCAACTTCCCCCATCCCTTTTCCGACCTGAAAGCCAAGACCAAAGCGGCAGGCCCCGTTCACAACCTGGCTGGGACCAGACCGCCCTTCTACAGCCACCTGTTAGTTCCCGTTCCGCAGCGGGGCGGGCTGGAGGAGCTGAAGTCGGGCGCATTTTGCCATTGGAGGCGTCCGGGCCCCTCCCGCGGAGGGAGCGGTCCCCTTGGTCCCGGGACACCCAATCCCTGTCCCCAGAGGCATTCCAACCTTGCAAAACCTACTTCACGCCCCCCTAGCGCATCTGTGGGGAGCCGCGCCCGCCCCTCTTGCACCGACGGGGCGGCCACGCCCCTCCCAGGCAGTTGTCGGTCCGCGGGTCGCCCCTGCGCACTCTGGTGTCCTGCTGAGGTCTCCCGCAGCCTCCCTGCCGAGGGACCGCGACGAAGGACTTGCTCCCCTAGTCTGGGGTGGGGGGCAGCCTCGGTGACGCACCCCTTCCTTCCCACCCAGCAGGGAGCAGCGGGCCGGGGCCCCGTGGAGGAGTAGGCGGCGGAGCAGGGTCTGGGCGGCGTCAGGCTCCGGCGACCCAGGTCGCCCAAAGCCGCTCGGAGCACAGCCCCCACCCCCACCCCTCGGTCCGGGCCTGGAGCGAGCCAGGAGCGGCCCCAGCGCTCCCCGCCCCCGGCCGGCCCCGCCCCAGGATGGCCAGTTCCCATAGCAATCGCACAGACACCGGTTGCCAAGCAACCCCTCCCCCTCCTCCCTCCCCTCCTCTCCGGTCCGCTCCCCCCAACTCCAGCCTCCTCCCGCCCCCACACCATCCTCCACCTCCCCCGGGGGCTCCGGCGCGGCCCCTCGGGATCGCTCCGGTCTCGGGCTGCACGCGCGCCCGTGTGAGTTTCCGTGTGTTTCATTGTGTCTGTGTGCGAGGGGGTGTGCGTGTGCGTGGAGTTTGTGGGATCGGCTTGAGGGACCCCGAGCTGGTGCACAGCTGGCCGCGAGGGGACCCGCCCGCTCGCTCCGGCTCCTTTGTGTGTCGCGCGGAGCCAGTGCCGCGCCCACCCCCTTCCCGGCCGGCACCCCGGGCAGGGTGTGCGTGTGCGTGTGCGTGTGTGTGTGTCGGGAGGTGGGTGGGTGCCGCGGCCGGCCGTACCTTCGATGCAGCACACCCGCCACAGCCCCGAGTGGGTGAGGTCGCCGCGGGCGCGGCGGGGCGCGGGCCCGTCGTCCATGGTCAGGTTGGTGCCGTTGCAGATGTGCGCGCTGGAGTAGAGCCAGTAGTCGGTGCCGATGGCGATGGCCATGAGCGAGAAGGCGGCGAAGGCTCCGGCCGTGGTCAGCAGCATCTGCAGCCCGCGGTCGCATCGCACCATGGTGGGCGCCTCATAGTCCGCCGCCCGCCGGCCCGGCCCGCCGCGCCCGCCCGCCCTCCTCCCTCCGCGCGCCGCTCCGGGGGCGCCGGGGCTGGGGGGCCGAGGGCCGGGGGGCGGCGCCGCGCTGCGCGCTCCGACCCCGCGCCCCGGGCGTGCCTGCGCTCGGGCCCCGCCGGGGCTCAAACTCCGAGGCGCGGCGGCGAGTGAGGGCTGCGCGGGCCGCCGGGCGGGCTGGCGGCGGAGGCCGGGGGCTCCTCCCTCTCGGCCCGCCCTCCCGGCTCGGCCCGCGCCTCCGCCCCGCGCCCTCCGCGCCTCCGCCCGCCGCCGCCGCGCTCCGGGCCCGCGCCCCGCTCCTTTCGGCGCCGCCCCTCGCGCCTCGGCCCCCGCCCGGCTTTGCGCTCCCCTCTCGGCCCCTCTACCTCTGCCGGGATTTTCTCTTCCCCCGCTCCTCTCCCCTCTCCGCGCTCGCACGCGCTCTCGCCTCCTCTCCCAGGGTTCATTCACATTATTGGAGCGAAGGAAGCCGAGGCACGGGTTCCCGGGAGGACGGAAAGGGAACCGCGTTGCCAGCCACCTCGCTTACTCAACCCAGGACATCCAGCCTTCCCTTAGATGGCCCGGGGACTCTTTCATTTGTGGAGTGTGTGTGCGCGCGCGTGCGGGGGATGGCCCTCCTTGCCCCGTGTACAAATCTGTGCCTTTACCTGGCGATGGATGGTGTAGGCGTAATCTGGCAGTGGGAATGTTCCGGTCAGATTTCCAGAAGCCCCAGATGTGGGTCACAGCTGAGAGATATTACAGGCCAAGCCAGGCCCTGGCCCCTTCCCTCCCCCACCTAACTGCTCCTGCCCCCACCAGCTCCTCCAGGGGACCCAGAATTTGGGGTTGAGGGAGAAGAGGGGTGTCAGCCAGAGGTCATTTGGGAAGAACATAGCATCCCTGTTAGGCAGAGCGGTAATGGGGTTGTGATTGGAGAGGGGGCTCCCCTCCATTATTACATTTCTGGGTGCTTTATTCCTGTGAGTCCAGGAACACCCTAGTTGTATCCGATTCAAGCACCGCAGCCCTCAGCTGTTCCCCTCTTTCTTCTTGCTCCCTCCTGAATACCTTTATTTCTTTTTGCCTTTCCCTCCACTGGAGCTTAACTGGCTTTCCCTCACCTCTGTCCCTTTATTGCCAGTCTCTGCCTCCAGCCCTGCTGGCTTCACTTCATTGCCTTTGCTGCTGGCATGATCCCAACCTGGACACGCTCCCTTCTCCTCAGAGCCAATGCAGGCTCCTTCTCCTTCAAAACCTCAGCTCCAAACTCTTCCCTCCAAAAGGTCCTCGGAGACAAGCCCGGGGATGTCCAGTGTGACATTATTCTGTCCCTCCCCAAAGCTCGTGTGGTTGGCATCCTTGATGGCTGCCCTGGGGCTGCGGCCCTGGACCCCCAGAAAGCTGAAAGAAGTATGCCCAGAGTTGCTATTCTTCTTGTGAGGTGCAGCCTAAATGTCACCTCCATTTCTAGCACCTTCCCTGGCCCCCGGGACCCAAGGAAAACTAATGACCTCATGCTGGAATTAGTGGTCTCTCTTCCGTGAGCCTGGGAGCCTTTCTCATATCTGATGTATATGGTAAGGAGTGGAGAGATGTTTGCAGAGTGAGAGGTGTTCCTTGTCCCCTGGAAAATCAGAGTCTGACTGGGGGACAATAGAGCCTATAAATAAAACCCAAGATAATGTAGCCCAAGGATCAGGCTAGCTGCATTAATTCATATTTGTGGCCCCTTCTCCTGCTTTTGGAGTATCTGTTCGTGGGTCCCCTGAGTCTCAGAGGACGAGAGCTGTCACCTGTATTTTACTTTCATCCACCTGTCACCTGATCTGGGGTTCTGTACACAGCAGGTGCCCAATGTATGCCTGAAGGTGCACACCTGGTGTGAGATGGCTTACTCTGACTCAGAGCAGGGCTGCCTTCCTATGTCCCTAATATCCAAAAGGATAAATTCTAGGTTCTGTCCCCAGAAGCACCGAGAAGGGTAGATCTCAAGCTTTCTCCTTCTTGTTGTTGTTGTTACTGTTCTTCTTCTCCTTCTTAAGGAGCAAATATTTGCCTCAAATTAAATCTTAAACAGAAGCCCCAGGTAAATAAACCAAGTCTTCTACCAGTTAGCCATGTAGGTCAGGGCTGGCATAGCTCTGGTTAAATAGGGGCCCCAGATTACCTGTACCCACCTACCTACACCACCCCCTGTGCCCCGAGAGCACCCCTGTGGACCTAGGGTTCCAAAAAATACAGTGTGAAAACCAGCATCCTGAGCCAGCTTCTGGGTCCCTCGGGGACATCCTTTTCTACTCCGTCCTACTTGCAGTCTTTCTAGGGGACTTTGAGAGAAATAAATGGAACCAAGATAAACAGATCTTATTTATCCGTGGGGTGGAACGGGAGTGAGTAGCTTCCCTCAGTCTGCTTTTAGGTCTGGGAAGTGACGCATGGGTGATGGGGCCCTCTTCCAAGCCAGCGATCCTCATGTTAATCCCACGAAAACAGAACGGAAATCTTCATTCATCAGAGCCCGAATGGACCGGCTCCCACCAGCATTCCCAGGAGCACGTGGGAGAGTGGAGACAGGCCTGGACCGGGAGCCAAGATGTCAGCATCTCAGGCTGGCTCCATCACTAACTGCGGGTGATCTTGGACAAGCCAGAACCACCTGAGAGAAAGACACCTCTCCAGCCTCCCCTTTCAGATGCTTCTGAGGATCAAATAGAGTACTTTGTACATTGCATACACTTAGCAACTTAGTGATCATTTGTGGAATCAGTAGTAAATACTCCCTTTTTTTTTTTTTTGAGACAGTGAGCCAGACCTGTGTAGCGGACATATGTCACTACATCGTCTGTTATTCTCACTGTTATCCCCCTTACAATACCTGGGGAATCCAAGGCCCAGAGAAGTTGACCAGCTCACTCAAGGTCTCACACCTGGAAGGTCTCAGCTCAGATCCCGATAACCAGAATATTTCAAGAGCACCAAACTGCCTCTTGGTCCTTGTCGAGTGCTGCTTGACTGTGTTACATATGACATGTTGGATGTGGGAGAAAGGGACCCCAATGGGGCTTAGCAACTTGCCTTTCTATCTGTGGACGCCCAACCGGCAGCCATGCTTAGTCCTGAGATGGTCAGGGTGTAGACTGTGGAGTCAAATAAGGACTTGACCGCCAGTGAAAGGAGCTGGAGCAAACTCAAGACTGTCTGAGACCGTTCATCATGCCTGGGTGAGCACAATTTAAATCTGGAAATTTCTGCTCAGCCAGATTAGAGAACTCTAAATGGCAGTATTTAAGGGCTTCCTGAGGTCTCCGGAGTTTCTCCTATGTGACATTTCCAGATCCGAGGGAGGGATGTGTCTTTTGCTTGCTCAGGAGGAGGCTCTGGGCTGGTCTTGTTCTGGAGACACCGGACACTTGGCATCTTCCCTCGGGGAGCTGCTCAGTGTCAGATCCACGGTGGGGGGAGGGGACGACTCACTGCACTTATTACTACCTCTGTGGACAGCTGAGCAGGTGGAGGTGTTTAGACCAGTCCTTTGAAGCCGTCTTTTTCAACACAAATGGGTTTCTTTCCCTTTCACCTGCTCATTTGGGTAGTGACCACAATTCTTCACTTTACTCTGGCTGTGAGGACAAATGAATGAGCTCCGAACCCTCCGACCAACCCAGCTCCGGGGTGAGGCGGCGGGGCAGTGGACGCGGGAGGGCAGTACGCATTAGACTGTGCACGCTGTGTAACGGGCATGTCAAAGCCGCCCCGCATCTGTAGTCAGGGCGAGAAGGAAGGGAGAGGCCCTCCGCCAGCGAGGGGAACGCAGTTCCGAGAGCCCTTATTAAAAGCTTTGCTTTCCCCCTTTGTCCTCCAGAAATAATGACCTTCGGGTGGCAACTTTTTGTACTATCTCATTTCCATGCCCAAAGCAGATGGTTCTGCTGATTTTAGAAGACTTAATGGGGCGGGGGCGGGGGGAGGGGGATATTTGGAGAGCCAGGGAGATATTTCCGGTGAATTGACAGAAAGAGTGATTTTGATTTTCTATAGCACAGGGTTGAGGATGAGACTTAGAAGGTTCCAGGGCTTGGCTCAGTGTGGAGGCTTATCTGTAGCCCATCCAAGCTGCTCAGAATCCAAGAAGAATGCCTCTAGATCCCGGTACGGACAGCCTCCCCCATCAGATTATGCACACCGCAAGAATGGCTTTTTTCTTTTTCTTCATATTTCAGTACGTTCCTTTGAGGAGGAGCGCAGATCCGAAAATGCTTCTTGGCTTTATGTATTCAAGTTTATTCCATTTCATTTGCTTATCCCTTATATCCCATTCAAGGTGGCTGGGCCCGGATATGCAGCCTTCTTTCTCAGCCCTGCCACAATGAAGCGGCGGGGTGCTCACTATCTCCACGCCAGGCCAGCGCCTGGAAGTGCAGAGGAAAGAGAAGCGGCGTTCCCTGAGTGCCCTCTCTGTGCTACTTCCTATGTGGGCAACGTTTCATCTCATCATGGCAACAAGCACATGAGGTGGACGCCTTTACCCCCATTCTGTAGGAGACGCACCTGCAGCCACACAGAATCGTGACTGAGCTGGGATTTGAACCCAGTTCTGCCCGAGCCCAGCCAGGGTGAGCCAGCTACCAGAGGGCACCGGGGCTCAGGGTCCTCCAAGTCCCTCTGCCCACATCTGCTTCCTCCTCTTCTCTTCTTTCATGTTTTCATCCAGATGAAATCAGGTTCAAATGACCATCAAGGTCACAGGAGGGTAGAGAGGTTAAGGAGGGGCTGTGCCTTGCAACCCCAGGGGCGGGGCGGTTGAGTGCCAAGGGAGTGAGGATGAGGCACATTCCCCATTTCTTGGGCAGGTAGGTTGAGTGGGGCTGCTGTCAGGGGCTGGAACCAGCCTTAGGAGCCTACCTTCCTCCTCCTCCTCCTTCCTGGTTCCTACTCCTAGCGCCTGTCCTGATGCTGTCCAG